GCAACACCCTAGAAATAGGGCTGCAATTAACGCTAGTGAAGCAGAGGATTCAAATACACCTAGATAGTTCACCAACAAGTATGCTAGGTGCTGTTGAAAACCTAGTTAAAGGTGCGACTACTATTGCGCATGAGTTGGTGTTAGTCAAGAAACAGGTCTCTGAGCTTGAAGCAGCGAATGAAGCCGCCACGCGAAGGAGATCACACAAAAGAAAGCAGCTATAGAAAGGAGAGACCCTAACGATTGAAGAAGGAGAGAAACTGGCAACTCTAAAGGAGTCTAGGGCGCGTGGTAGTGGGAAGAAGGCAAAGAAGGGAGAGAGCGCTGAAGTAGGCGAACCGTCGCAAAGGCGCTGTAGACGCTGCGGTGAGACTGGACACAACTCGCGCACCTGCAAGCAAGATAAAGAGGTTAATTCTAAATAGATTAGCCTTTTCTAATTTTAATTTACTATTGTTGTTGCGCTGTAATGGTTGCGCAACGGTGGTGAGGTTGATGGGGGCTTGGCATTTTCGGTCACTCGCTATTCTCGGCCACTCGCTATACTTTGACGTTATATATATATATATATATATTAATCTATTTCTTTTATATACTCTGTTTCTACTACCACGTTAAACTAATACTTTGTAATTAATGATTAAAACTTCTCCATATATATATCTACAATCATACTATTCCTTATCGTGAATTCTGTTTTTCTAAAGTCTAATCATATACAGTCCTACTTACAGCACTTTATATTGATTCGTAGCTCTTGTCTCTTTCTCTCTCTCTCTCTCTCTCTCTCTCTCACACACACACACACACACACATACAGCTGAGGTAGGTACACGCCTTTGCGATAGCTAGCTCCTCCAGCACATTCGCCGTTGTAGGTAGCATCGCTTGCCTGCATGGGCATTGTATTGTGTTGTGTTGGATAAGGTGGGTTTTGGCTTTATGGGTTGTTGATATTGTGTGTATGTATGTATGTATGTATATATGTATAGGACATCTCACACTGTGTGTCGATATATATCGTCTCGGAAAATGGAAATACCATGTATGTATGTATGGGCACTACACATGTAGCATGGCTGGGGATTTGTGGTACGGGTGAGTGCAGTGGCTTGATACGGGTGCTTGTTGTCTTGTACGCTGCTTTGTTGTCTATGGAGAAGAGAGCGCGTGGGTGTCCTGTTGCATCATGTGTCCTGGTATGTACGGATAGATGATGGACACACTTTTAATTACTGTGCTTTTGTTACATCACTCTGTGGTATAAACAGTGGGATAGTTTGGTTTAATTCTTTGTTTACTAGACGCCTACGTAAACTACCTCTCAAACACTGATTCCCCCTTCTTGTACACGTGGCAAAGTTTGAAGGCGCGGCTGGTACGTATGTAGCAGCTGTTTCTCGGGCTTCAGAGCGTTGCAGCAGCCTTTTTTTATATACAGATTCTATGTATACAATCCATGAGAGCGCAGGCCAACTGCTGCTGCTGCTGCTGCCTCAGCCAATTGAGCAGGTTTTCATCGAGCATTCCACCCCTGCTACAGTGTATACCGACTTTTCAGGTACCCAACTGGGTACGTCTCTACACCAAATTGTTTTATATTCGATATGATCAAACTTTCCCCCGAACGAATGACAGATTTCTGTCGCTGAGCTGGTGAAGACGTCGTACGAGAGCTGGCCAAAGCATCTGTAAAACGGAAGGTAACATGTTTTGGCTGCGGTTGCTGCTGAGACGAAAAGCAGCAATGGATGTAGCATTGGTTTCACTATTGTTTAGTATTGTGTTAGTTGGAGAGTATAATGGGGGGTTTGAATATGCTAAAGTCTTACTTTTTTTTCTTTTGAACCTTAGTTACAGGTAAGTAGAGAGAGTTTTTTTGTTCTAGCTGGAATTTGTTCCAATGTGTAGAGAGAGAGAGAGATGTTCAGTTCATTTAAGAATAAATTAATCAAGAGCGTAGATGCAACCAGAAATCGTGTACATTTCGCTGCCGTCTTATAAGCTGTCTAAAATATTGCTAGATTCTGGACAGAGAGGAGGGGGCGTTATATTCTGACAAACGAAAACCTCTATGCTGAGTTCATATCACCAAATACTACCGAGGGCTAATCTGTTATTAGCTGCCCAGACGACCTTTTGCGTATCGATAGGTTGTTACTTTACTGTACTAGGCTGGGAACTAGCCAAGGTACCCCATCTAAGGTCAGATTCTCTCGTCAGACACAGTAAGACTTTCATCTCCCAGAGCGTACCAGCAAGAACAATTAACTTTAGACTTTTCTTCATTCTATCAAAGTAGGGGGAAAAGAAAATTAAAGATCGAGACCGAATCCCGCTCAGATCCGAGATGAGGATTTATGTAGCATTTTTTTTTTCGAAAGCCCTACGTATAAATATTTCCCAAGTTTCTGCTTCAAAACATTGTCTACAATTGCACTCTTACTCACACTTTCGCATCTTGCTTCTTTTGGAACATCAGTTGAATTTCATCATGCTTCATCTATTTTCAAAATATCTCTCGATTCTTTGTTTGTGCCTTGCTGTTGTTACAGCAAGACCCCTACAAGCAGACGGCTCCCCCAACATTCTGCCTCGCCAAAAAATCTGTCGCACCGGCTTTGGCTGTTTGCCTTTTGGCAATTCTGGGTGGAATTCCTTTGATATTGCCCTTCCAGCTGTGGGTGATCCTCTTACACACAATGCTCAGTCTCCTGGTGCGGAGGTTGCAGCAACAGTATGGAATAGGGCAGACGGCACTGTTTTCCTTGGTATTACCTTGGTCGATGGCTACAATCCGCCTCCCACTGATTCAATCGAGATCCAAGCGTGGGTTGGAAGGAGCCGCATCACCCTCAATCGCAACGATATACGGACTCTAGATGGAGGCGCAGTGGCAACCGTTCCTGCAAATTTAATTAGTAGAGCGAGATCCTCCAGTTCTACACCCGCTATCACGATCAGATGGAGAGTTGTATAGCGTGTGAAAGGGCGACAATAGTGGAGTCAGAGCCACACCGACTCATTAGCCACCTCGTCAGGTTTCCCCACCCCCCAAACCACGACCATATCCGCATGTACCTAAGATTCGACTAGTTATATGGCTAGTTAGTTATCCTTCAATCAATCTCTCAATCTCTACACACTTGGTTGTCTTCCTATACCCGTGAATGTCTCTAGCCTTGTCGCAGAGATGTTTAGATAAAGCCGTGTCAAACCTCACCCTTATATACTACATTGTTATTCATATAACTAGTGTGTCTTTTTTTACTACATACAATTTTTCATTTAGTCCATTCATCACATACCATTTTTAAAGATCTATAAAACTATAAAAGTGGGCTTGAATAAACTTATTCTATACTTTATTTCTTAAATTTAGTCTAAATTAAGACAGGATGTTATTGAGAACTACACTATATTCAAGTTTCATGTATAGATTGCAAGTCTGCATCATGTACGCTTAAGAGGAACACCATGTGTTGGATCCTCAGTGAGTCAGGGGAGCATTAATTGATTAATTCCATTCAACGCCATTTTTCATAACACGAGATTCGGCTCGTGTAAGCCTCGCATGGGGGCATGATGGCAGTCGAAGCTCATGACTTGAAATGTCTGTTCAAAAGCGGAATGAGCTTCAAGTTGTCTCCCTTTGATAGAAAGAGTTAGGGGAGGAGGGGAGTGGATATGTGATATATATTTCTTTACGCGTTTTTGTGTGGAAGGAATATTGTATGTAGATTGTGTTACAAAGAGGGGGGTCTTGCTGCAGTATGAGCGGACAAAAAAGAGGTAAAGGGAGGGAGGGAAAGAAGAAATCAAGTATGTGGGGCGGGGATTGACTGGACACCACCGGTGCCCATCTTGAAAAAACAATGGGACCGTATCTCGTGTTGTATTGGATTTAATTTGCTTTTTTGCTCACTTTGTTAGTTCCGGTGCGTTGCTTGCTTTGCTTTGCTTTGCTTTGCTTTGCTAGCCCGCTTCCACTTCTAGAAGAGATAACGTTACTTCCACACGACATTCGCCCTCCTCGAGCGCCACCGGTTGGACTCTGGCTTCATATAATGATATCAGCTGTATTAAGTGCAGATAGACCGGAGAATATGGAAATTATCACTGTAGGATCGAGCAGGGATATTTGAATTTACTTTTCTCCAAATATTGTTTCATGTGGTATCTTCAAAGGCAAGAAAAAAATTAATTATCAAGGCCGTATTCCATTTCCTCTTCCATCGTTGAGACCATTATTTTTTTTACTGGTTTTTTTGTGCTTCTGGTATATTATAAGTGTGCACACTGACTCCACACTGCCCTGGTTCAGCAAAAAGACTGCAGATCTCCTGCAGAAAGCGCAAACGATACGTTGAGATGAATGGCTCTGATTCCGACGCATGCCGTTACTCGTAATCCGATCAAGGAGCAATGGTGTAGGCGTTTCCATACGGGTTGTTGCCTCCGGCATTAGCATGGCCGTTGGTGAGATGTCCATTCAGACCATTCACACGAGTGTCTTCAGTGTCGTAGTGCAGGCGCAGAGAAGTCGGGATAGGGCTCTCTTTGCTCGATCCATCAAGGTAATGACGCATGGTGATACCCGCAAGTTTGTGCTCTGTTGTGATGAACCGGCCTTGCTTGCCAGGTGCACGGCGTATGTTGGGGAGCTTGAAGACCTCGCGCAGAGTGGCTGCCAGAGACGGACCGACGAGGCGCGCGCCAAAGCAAAAGTGGAGCCCGTGACCGAGCAGAGTGTAGTCCTTGAATGAGCGGTGGGGATTGAGGATTTCCGGGTTGGGGAAGGCGACGGGGTCCATGGCGGCTTTGGATGTGGCGATGAGCACTGTGTGGCCCTTCTTGATGGTGACAGGACCACGGACGCCATCCTGGACTGTCACGTCGCGTGTTGCGATGCGAGGAAGTCCTGGTACCACACCAACGTGGCGCATACCCTCGTATACGAAGCCCTGAAGCTCGCGATCCGAGTCTTTGGGGTCCATGTGTGAGAGTTCCACGATCCTCTTCTTATATTGCTCGTACTCGGGCTGCAGGAACAAATCGATGAGCAACGAAGCCTGCTGTGTCAAGTTTCCAGCCACAGGCGCGCCCATGCCAATGCAGTCGCCAACAAGATCACCAATAGGGAGCTTAGTGTCGGCCAAACCGTGGTAGAGACGATCAGCCTGAGGACCTACTTCGAAGGCGGAGCCCTTGGCCATCCAGTCAACAATTCCTTCCAGACGTCCTGTTTGCGTTTTGAGATGGGTCTCGAAGATTTTGCGAAGAGGCGCTGCGGCTTCCATGGCGCCGGCGCGGAGTTTCCATTCATTATGGGGCATAATGTTGAAAGACTGGTACATGACTGAAGGATGTCAGTAAATTGAAAAGGTTCAGGTATAGGGTTGACTCACAGAGCACAAGGAAGGCTAGGAAAGCTTCATGGATAGACATTAAGCCCCGTGGCTGTTCTGGCGTCTTGAGTGGGAGTGCAAAACGCTCCGCAAGCCACATGATGGGTGTGATGTTGGTCACATCGCGGACAATGTCGATGGCCATCCGACCTTTGGCGCCTTTGAGCGAGTTCTTCTTGATCAGATTCCGCACGTTTGTGGTGAAGAAATCGCTAACGTTCTTCTCAAATCCCTCCTCGAAGAAGATCTTGTGCAGGATGTTGGAACGCTCGTCGTGCTTCTTTTGCTCGTCCCATCCAATCATGAAGTCGTGTCCATCAGTGCAGTTGCGAATTGCAGCTTGATACATCACGACAAAAGCTTCGCGATCTTCAAAGACCTTCTTACAGCCTTCTTGGGTCTGAACACTGACGATATCATAGCCGCTTGGAGGACGAGAGGTGTCGTACTTGTCAAGTACACCATTACCTTCTAGAATACCTCGAGCAGCCTTGGGTGTGTAGAATGGCAACAGAGCATAGCTTGATGTACCCTTGAAGCCGCCTGGAAGCCCTTGGAATAGCAGTCTGGGAAGAACGCCGCCGTAGGCACCGGGGGTGGTCTCGGATAGAAGAGCTGCACCCCAATTTGTCAGAGTGTTGCTGTTGAAGTCGTAACTCAAGAAGCGATCACCGCGGACCAAAGCGACGGCATCATCTAAGATGCCTCTGCCAGTGGTTTGGCCGGGGCAAACGCCACTTCCTGGCATGGCTGGCTTTGTGCATTCCGCCATTAGACCAGGGTACAGTTCCATGTTCTCCATGTGACCGTAGAGAAGCTCTGCAGCGCGAGCAGTCTCTTTGTCGGAGCACCAGTCCTCGAATGTCTCGTACGGCTTCAAATTAAGATAGCGACGGAATTCGTTGAGCGTGCAAACATTGAACATCTCGCGCGCCTGCAGCTGGCCCATCAGGTCAACGACCTTGAGACTCGCCGGCGTGCCGTGCGCACCAAATGCATGGGCGGGCTCTTCAATACAGTCCTTGATCAGTTCAGACAGTTCAGCGTTCTTGAATCTGCCGTCAGGCCCTCGCTCAAGACCACCAAAGGTCCATTCGCTGGGCTTTTTCTTCATAAGATCATGACCATAGACTTTCATGACCTTGTGGAACATTTCGATAGTGACGTCATCAATGTGCCGTAGGTCAGGTATGACGGATCGGATGATGTCTTCCATCCACTTATCGTCCGCTGCACTAAGGGCTGCGTGCCAGTGGTATAAGACGGCAAATTCGACAGAAACGTGACTGCCGGTTCCGCGCTCAACACGTCCAGAGCCCTGCCTAATCTCCTTGCCGAGGTCCAGAGACCACTCAGAGTTGGCTCGCGGGGTGTTGAGAATCGCGGCAACATAATCTCGAAGTACGACTGATGCAAAGAACCCGACATTGATGTTGCGCGCGATTTGGAAGATATCCTCGTCTTGCCTGTATGCTTCAATTAGACATGATACACACCAATTGCCACGGAAAAGCTTACCATCTCTTGCCTTCCTCATCGAGGCTATCCCATGGCTTGTACTTGCCCTCTTCATTTACCGTCAACAGCGATTCTGCGACAGTGTTGTGGTTCCTCGAAAACAACAAGAGAACAGCCACGACGCCAGGAGGCATCATCATGATGCGCTCTGAAGCAATCGAGTCCGGGTATATCAAACCGTTGGTGTATGTTCTCACGCGCTTCTGTTCATTTCCAGTGTTGCCGTAGAGAGTGCTAAGATCAACATAGCTGGAAGTCTCGTTGATCCATGGGTCTGTTCTTGAGGTTTGGAAACATTCATGGATGACAATAGTCGCAAAAGAGAAAAAAAGGCGGTTGAGGCCAGACGGATGCTCTCGGAAAGGACCACTGCGCTTCAAGAGTGCCTCGTACACATCCTCAACATCAGGCAGGTTTGGTCCTGTGATCCGTCGTTAGTCGCAATTCGCCCATGTCTCGTCCTTCAGAATGGCCTACCTTTAGGTTTCAGAGGTGGCACATTGCGCGCGTATGGAGTCCCCGCTTTGCCCATATCTGGCATGTGAGGATTGTTCCCAGAACCATCGTGTTCTCGGTATCGCGCCGAGGGCCCGGCTTGTGTGGGCGAGGGATGTGGCAAGTCGTTCCAAAGCATGCTGATGAAGCCATCGGAAACCTTTGCGCTGAGGCCACTGTTTAATGGTAACTTCTGGAGCATCTCAACACCATGCTCGAGGAGCAGGTCTTTGTCGTCCAGAGGCTCACCAGAAGCCAAGGTCGTGACAGCCTCAACGGCGAATTTGGCATTCTTCACACCAAGGCCTGTCAGGTCACTTATGACGCTAGTCCTCTGGTTGCTCTTGACACCCCCACTTGCAACGTCTGTTGACCGGCCATCGCTCGCACGTGTAGGCTTCCTTCGAATCTTCTCAAGTATGGACGACAATTGGCTTGGCATGATGAATGGTGGGTTGTATGACCATGCGTGAAGAGAAGAGAGGAAGGAAGTAGGAGAGTAGCAACTGGGGGGAAGGGCCCCAAGTAAGTGCAAGATGGCTCGCCGAAAGAGCAATGAGCAAAGGCAGGCGTCGTGCTCTGGGCGCCAACAGCGAGTCCTTGCAACAACAAGCCAGTGACATGGCGACGATCGCTAGCAAGCACGATGCGGTGATCAGCATGCAGCCTCGGCGAACAGTTCCCAGAGATGGCCATTGGGCGCTTTGGAGCTACACATGCGTCGGTGTGGTGTGAAGTGTTTTTGCGTCGCTCGTATCGCCAAAGCTTCGATAGACCCCCGCTCGGTGGCTGCCATTGGCGCAGGTATGCATTGGGGACTATAGCAATAGGCAGATCTAACATGCTGTCGCTAATCTTTGACAGAAGAGTGCTAAGTCTTGCAGGTCGACTTTGACAGGCTGTACAGCCAGCCACGGTCAGGCCAGCTCACGATCCCAAGCCATGGACGGCATGCATGACGGAGCTGGTCATGATGCTCGCCGATCGCATCTGCGGTGAGACCACAAGCTGGTAAAGAAAAGAAACGAGTGGACAACCCGTGAGCCCGCCCGGCCAACAGGGGCACACAAGACGGGTAGACTCAGCACGACTCGCGACGATGCCGCCGATCAGGCGGCATGTTGGTATCACGAACAGGCAGATCGGTATCCCAGCGGAGCTCAGCAGGAGTGGGAGTGGTGCATGAGTAATGATTGCATGTCGTTGGCGTAATGCTAGCACGAGATGGAATGGAGGCCCTGGTTCCGTGGATGAAGTGGGCGAGGGCACGTGACCAGGCGTCCAAACTCGGGCTGGGACCTCCTATACAGGCGCATTGCAGATCAAGCGTCTTACTAGCAGACGCCACCTTTCAGCTGCCGTGTGCGACCGGGATGGCAAAGCCGCTTGATCAGGCTGCATGCCGGTGTAAGTAGGACGTGCGGGGTACGTTTGAGGAAAAAGGATGGATCCCAGTGCAAAGGCGAGCGAGGGAGGGATCGGGGACGGGTGCGAGCATCAGGGCGGCGGGCCGTACGGTATCAAGGCCTCACCCGCAGCAAAGTCCTTGGCATGCACGGACCAGCAAGACCGACGACGTGCTTTTTCACCACCACTAACACCAAGACTAACGCCGCCCTGGCCATCCCCGCCAGACCCTCCCACTCCTATCACGGATCGACGTCTATTGACCGCACTCCATGACTCTCGTCGCCAATCACAGGAGACGCCATCACGCCATCCTTTCTTATCCTCTGCGCACGTCGCTACCGTCACCATGCTCTTGTTGAACACAATGCCGGCCCGGGCCAAGCATTGGCCCAAATGCTGTGCTACCACCACCACCACCGTCGCGCCTCTTTATCCAGCCCATGACTTGTTCGAAACGAAATGCCGTCTCCAGCGTAGCTGTATCCTCACCGTCCGCTTGGCCCAACGTTGCCGGCCACATGGGAGCCACTTATGCATCATGGCCACTTCTGCGCCAGGTGGAGATTTGACATAACTAGCCCGCTGCTGAAAACTGCATACGACATGGCATGTGACGAGCCATATTCGCGAGCCGCCTCTGACTGGTTCCTCGGATGTTCCATCTCAGCAACGTCCGCCACATCCAGCATGACGGGGGGTGTGACATGGTGCATGCTGAGTTAGTCGTGATGATCTACACTTGGAGCCAATGCGTCAGCTATTAGTATGGGAAATAGAAGATTTGCATACGCATGTTGCCCCCCTTCTCCGTGTTGCTTCTGGTGTCGGTAGATATTTCCTGCCTGCTTGATGCTCTGCTGTCCCCGCATTGCAAAATCTGGCTGGCTTCTTCCCTCTGACAACAAACTCTTGTCCAAAACTTTTACCTAGCCAACATGGCTTTCAAGAACACTGACCTACTGGGTTCACTGAACCCCTTACCCCAGCCGTTCACGTCGACTCCTAAGGAGGACCCTTTAGATTATGGGGCAGCGCCTCGTCAAGGCCATGTCACCAAAAAATTTGTCTTGTGCTTTGACGGCACAGGCAACAAGTTTTCTGGCACAGAGTCAGATAGCAATATCCTCAAGATCTATCGCATGCTTGACCGTAATGGCGATGACCAATTCCATTACTATCAGCCTGGAATTGGCACGTACATTACCAAAGCTGATGGCTCCATGACTCGAACAGGGCGATGGGAGAGGTTCCAATCATGGTATGCCAAGGCAAAAGACAGCGCAATCGGTATGTTTAACCGTTGTAATGCATTGTCCCGTCTGACGCCGTTAGGAACATCTTTTGACATGCATGTCATGGCTGGGTACAAGGTATGCTAAGAATCCCTTTCCAAGCAGGACACATTAGGCCCTTGAAAGCAAGCATCTGAGTAAGCATGAAGAGCTCAGCTGATCTGTCTACATAGTTCCTGATGAGATATTACACCCCTGGTGATGACATTTACTTCTTTGGTTTCTCGCGGGGCGCTTATACAGCCCGGTTCCTTGCTGAGATGTTGGATCATGTCGGCCTGCTCTCAGTAAGAATCTGACCGTTATAGCGTAATACGAAGCGATCTAATATCCCACAGGCAGGTAACGAAGAGATGTGCCAGTTCGCGTGGAAGTAAGTGTTGTCGCCCAAAAATGGACATTCTACGCTAACTGAACTGTCCAGAACATTTCAAAAATGGCAGTGCCGAGTACCAGACGAAAAAAATAACAGGGAACGTGGGCAAAAGTCCGAGAAGCACAAGCTCCTCGAGTTCATGTGCGCTTTCAGAGAGACGTTCAGTCGTCCGGTCAAACCAATTCGCTTTCTTGGTCTGTTTGATACTGTCAACAGTGTACCAGCATTTGAGAATGCATGGATGCAACGCAGCAGATTTCCCTACACCGCAAGGAGCAGCGCACGAGTCATCAGACATGCGGTCTCAATAGATGAACGCCGAGCGAAATTCCGACAAGATCTGATCTCTCAAGAAAGACCGGACAAATCTCTGTACTACAAGCACCACCATAAGCACGGCGACAAACTGAGGGGCCTGGTACATGGTCACAGTGAGCAAAACGAGCAGGACAACAAACAAACCCAGGAGAATACCAGAGGTCGCTCTCAAAACCTCGCACCACCTGAGCGTTACAGAAACCCCCATGATACCTCGGGCGTGCGCAGTTCGAGTGTTGGATGCTCCCACCTGGATGACAACCCTCGCTCAGCTACCCCCTCCATGCGTTCAATTGACGTTCATGGAACCTACAATTCAGCAGACGAAGAGGGTGAACAAGACATCCAAGAAGTCTGGTTCCCTGGCTGTCACGCCGTGAGTACATTCTCTAGTTCGATGGCACACGTTCGCAATACTGACGCAACACAGGACATTGGTGGAGGCTGGCCTCTCGTAGAAGGCGAAGTATCGCTTAGTCATGTACCCCTTGTCTGGATGGTGCGTGAGGCGCAAAAGGCTGGCCTCGAATTCGACGAGGAGAAGCTCGTAGCTCTGGACTGCTGCCATGAAGACGCCGTAAATGGCACCGTAAAACCTTACGACAACGTACCAACCATTGAAGTTGACCCTGCCTCTCCTTTGCCTGTCGATAGCGACGCAAACGCATCGAGCGGCATCACTGGCTACACCGACGACGAAAATATTCTCGCCCACCACCAAGAATTCCCAGATACGCGCTTCCACAAGCATCTTCACGTTGCCGCGACCCAAGGCCGCATCCACGACGTTCTCCAGTTCAACAACGGCGCTGGCCGCATGGGCGTCATGTCGTGGAACATGATGGAGTACCTGCCCTTCCGGCGTATGGACCTGCAAGAAGACGGCAGCTGGAAAGCCATCCGCTGGCCCTTGCCCAAAGGCGAGACTCGCGACATTCCCGCCAACGCCGTCATCCATGGCAGCGCCATCAAACGCATGCACGCCGATTCCAAATACCGGCCTGGAAACCTGATTGTAGGCGGAGGCGGCAGGGGCGTCAGACACGCACCCAAAGACTATGGAATTGGGAAATGGGTCGCTGCTCATGAAGAGGGCCATTACGTCGGCGAGTGCTTTGTCAGGCGCTTCCCGCCCGAGCGAACACAATCGGATGAGACTGCGCCTTTGGCACGCTCTGGAGCTAGCAAGGATGATTTCTTGTCGTCGCGGAAGAAGTCAACTGCTACGTACTAGTTTGAAGCACTGCCTTTTTTGCTCTCCTACCACCTGGTTGGTATTGACGATATTCTCAATCTACCGTTTACAGGTTGTATGAAAGGGGCTTCCAGCGTAATATACGTTTCCCATTATGTTTTGGCTAGTACAAACCCACTTTCTGTATTTTACCTTGGAGGCTTGTTCGTAATGTAAAAAGTTCTACAGGTCTCTTCTCGTGAAAGTCGGCACGTGACTGGCCAAGCTCATGTGCAATGCAACAAGTGTACCCCAAGGCTATGTTTTGGATATCTACTGTGAAAGAATTTATTATATTCAAGACTCAATCTACGATGGAAACCTGGAAATACCTCAAACAAAAGACTGACCCCCAAGTTCCGTAACGAGCGGCCTGACTTTCCAACCCGCGACACAGAAAACACATTTAAGACACTGCCTCTTCGTTGCAACAAAACAACCAAATTCCCTCATACCCATTGCTTCAATATTTCCAGTCCAAATTGTCCATCTCCCTTCAGACCCTACATCATGGAGAAATACGTCGCCCTAGCCGCGGCTCTGGTTTCTTTCTCGGCTGCTTTTGCCTGTATTCTAGCTGCAGCAGTAGAAGAAGAACTAGGCGACGATGCTATTCAGATGCATTAGACATAAGTTGGAAAATCTGGGCGAGGAAAAAAGCACAACGTACGGTTTTTGCGCCATATCTTGGCCACGAGGGTCTTGGAAGACGAAAGGCTCGAGGCGATGGAATGCGTGTCTGAAGGTGAGGTCGAGGTAATGGTAGGGCTAGTTGCGGCGGTGGATACAGCAGCCATAGCCTTCGTATTTGACATGTCCAAGATTCCGATTTCGATTCTTGTATCCCACAGATCTGTCATGTACTGCGTACTGATTCGGAAAACCAACAGATGGATGATTTAATCAATATACGGAAATCTTGAATCTCAAGCGCTCGCTGTGTTTGCTTTCGTGTTGACTTTTCTACTGCAATGTTTCGATGCAGAAAATAGAGGGAACACAACATGTCTTTATATGCAATCACTCCCCCCCCCCCTCTTACGCCTTCTCCTTCTCCTTCTCCTTCCTACCCCCTACCATTCACCATAACCTTGCGTGTCCGCAGCAACCTCCACCAGCATTCCTTTCGGAATTCAAGAAAGCTGAAAGCATCTACCTGGCCTTGTCCGCAAGGCCACCACCCACGCACGAATGACTCTTTCTCAGAACTGCTCAATCTGGCAAATCACAGAGGATGGCTGGAAAAGCCACTGGGCATGCCGTTCCTTGTAGACCTCCTTCTCGGAGTACATGGCCATGCAGCTTTGAGCCGCGTGCAGCTACGTGCAGTGCGTTTTTGGGGAGAATAGGCAGCAAGGAGGTCACGTCCCAAGTCCGAGAGGTCAGGCGCCCAATGCCGAAGACTACTTACTGCATTACATGCGTGTATCGAGTCAGAAAAGAATGCCGATGGGTTCGGAGAATTTGCGACTAAAGATAAAGCCTCGTTTCTGTGCAATGCCAGGGTGTCGGAGTTTGGTCCCGTTATACAGGGTGCAGTATGGCTGGCTCCGGAGTAGAGGGATGGTGTCACGTGACGATTGATGCCTGCATATATAGTTGTGATGGGGGCGCGGTTAGATTGTGTATTCCGAGCTAGAATGGCTATAAAGCAAAGCGTCTTGCACATGATGAATGCACTGGCTGCGAAGCTGACTCTACCGGCATGGATGCAGCATCTCATCATCGAGCAAGTTTGGCCGTGCAGGAAATGCGAGAGACGGGAAAGAAAAAGGACTATTGCATTGATACCATGGATTCTGCCATCTAGAGCGAATGGCTGTATGCATAGAAATAGCGTAGAGTTACATCTACAGGGTCACAAGTATTTACAAGAAAAGCACTGAAAGTATTCAAGTGGCCACGAACTCTTGTCCTACTCACAAGCACTGCGAGTAGAAGTCACCTGAAGCCTTGCAGGTTGATCCAGAGGCACCTTGAATTATTTTAGTAAGCATTGTCCAATTTTATTGCACGTGGTGGGTACTTACAAGTCGTGCAGCCGGTGAAGCCCTTTCCACCGCATTGTCCGAATTTGGCGACGGAGCAGCCGCCCGAGCCGCCTCCGGTTGATGGCGCAGGTGCCGCAGAGCTAGCGACGACGGAGGTTTTCATGGTGGAGGCCTGGGTCGGGGCAGCCGTGGACGCAGCTGGTCCTCCTGTAGCAGTCACAGCGGATCCAGCTGAGCCTGCAACAGCCTCAGTGCCGCCAGCGATGACTGCTGGGCCGGGCGCAGTATAGGAAGAGAGCGATGTGTAGATGTTGATCTCAATACCAGGATCGGTAGCCTTGTATGCACCGGGGAATTTCGCTCCGGCTGGCGACACGGAACCATCGCCAGTGACGGTGATCTGGAAGCACGTCATGTAGAACTGTGCGCCACCCACACTGCTTGCAGCATGCAGCGCAATGGCCTCGGCCCTCAAGAGGTAGTCTCCTGCTGCCAAGTCCTTGGGGATCTTGACGTCCATCTTTCCGCAGTTCTTGTTGAGGTCCTTGGTTCCCCAGTAGTCGTCGGAGCCACTGGATCCAGAAGGATTCTTGGCCCAAGTATCCTCGAAGATCTTAAAGAAAGGGGCTGAGCCATCTGCTGTAGAGGCATCATCGACCTTGGACATGTAGACGAGGACGGGGCCGTAGTGGGCGCCACCGATGGCTTCGGTGGCGCACGAGCGGTCGCCGTTTTGCTGGTGCATTTCTACCGTGACGGTGGCGCCGGCTGGGACACTGCACTTGGCAGCTGCGGGCCCATGGTTGGCATTGCAGCGGATGTCGTTACTTGTCACGTCGGTGACAGGACTGTTGCTGAGCGGTAGTCTTGCGCATGTTGCCTGGTAGATGTGTATCAGCATTGCAGAACGAATGTTCAGGGGGGGTTACATATCTTGTCCACGCCGTTGACCCAGAAATCCTGGAAAGTTGCATGCGCGGCAACCTGTGTTGCAAAAGCAGATACACCAGCTAGGATGAGTGTATTTTTCATGGTGAAGGATTGATGGTTGCTGGCTGAATACCGAAGACTGAAGGCGGCTCTGTCGATACTCTGCTGCACCAGCTACCACGCTGCCTTTATACTTGGTCTCAATACGCTAGGAGATCCAAGGCGAGCTCGCCTGCATAATTTTCTTAGCCCATTGCTTCATTTGCTGCCACGGCATTCCGATAGGTTGAGCACCTCGAATACCAAGGTCGGATGACCTGGATATAGATTAAAGCAAAGCTTGTTGTCACCGCGGTCCAGGTTCAGTCTGCTGCATGTGACATGACGCAGGCTGTAAATTAATCGAGCTGCAGAATCTCGTGTGAAACTCGTGGACGCCTAGCCGTAACATCTACAAGTGCCCTAGGGCCTCGCGTTCATGGTGGGCCGTCTGTATATAATTCACATCACATATAGGGCTACCGGATCAGGCTCCCGTCTGCTCGGAACCCCTGGACCCTTGGGGAATATCAACATCCTGTTGCAGAATCTTCGAGACCTCAGACATCTTGACTCAACCTTCACTCATGTTGCTGTTCAGACCCAGATAGGGTATTTGCAGACAACAGTGTGAAAATTTCGTCTGTTGCAGCCGTTGCGATACTGCGCAGCGACTCACATGCTGTTACCAAAGAGCACATGTGCCCATAGTTGGCTGAGCTAGCAGGTCGCATATTAAGTCGGGGGTTATCGAAAGCAATTTGTTTATATGAAGTGGAGAAGCCATGTGCCGAATCGGGCGGATTCGCCGGACCGGGAGCTGGGCGCGAAGCTTGTTTTTCTCAGCTTGCAATGCATTCGGTCTGTGTTTTTTGCACAGTGTTGCCAGCAGCAGTCGAGTTGATGTTATTGCACTGTTGATTTTCCGTGGTTGTAGGGAGACGTCGCAATGTCGGGACGCTACCCAAACCGCCGTGTCCGATATCGGCTAGTGTCATGTGCTGGTCTGTGCAAGCCCTTTCCAACATCACTTCTTCAGTCACTATATTCGACTGATTTAGACTTAGGATAGAGTCATGGCTACCAATTTGAACAAACTATTCATGTTCGGAGCAGAACGGGAGGTTTTAGACAGCATCACTATCTTGGAATTGGGCATAACCCCGTTGACTCTTTCCATAACCAGGACTAGGTCCTTAACGGTCGTCTATTTCACGGTCATATCCAATCTATCTGAATTGATGTGGCTTCGGTGGGTTTTCTGAAACATGGGGGCACACAAAAAGGGTAGCGTACGGAAGAATGGTAACCGTTTGACCTATCGAGTCAGATGTCAAGACCCTGACTCGTCTTTTCTCTGCTTGTATATAGTCTCAATGTGCTTCCTAGAAAATATGTTACATTTTACCAACAGCGACTTACACTACAGATTTGGGAACTTGGTTCTTTTTCCTCTGCAAGATTTGGCTCGCAACAGGCGAGTATAGCGGCACTCTGTTCAAGGGATCGAGTATTCACCACTTCCCTCTAAGAGGGTTCGGACATGGGATCTCTCCCTGCACCTCGTCAAAAACGACAAGTCAAGATTCTGGGGGTATATCTATCTTCGTTTTATACGCATCCAATTCACAAGGCACTTTATATCTACGTCTGATACATCAACACTTCTTCCTACGCGCCGATAACAGCATCGTAGTTATCGAGACATGATGAATTATAGCAACCCCCACACTCACTTCTTAGGAAATCCTATGTATTCTTCCCATGTATACCTGAAAGCGTTGGTCATCCCAGCTTCTCTCATTTCTGCACTTGAAGCATCCGACCCATACATACACATCAACACAACACGGGTGCTCTACTTTCAACCTTCCAGCCTCCCCCAACGCAGCTTGCATGGCCCAGGGCTACATATCGAGTCCTATGATCCGCGCACACCCACAAAATGCGTCTCCCATCTTTACTATCACTTGCGCGACTTGCACTTGAGAACATAGTCAAAACAGGACACACATGTGTAATAGTGCAGACAACGCAGTATAAGCTCTCGGGTCCCTCCCACCACGCTAACTCTTTACAATCATTAAAGTCCAAATACATACAAAAGAGCATACTTATGTACATCAATATCAGGAATAAATCTATACCTGCACTCCGTACACTACACATGCGCGCTTTTTTTCCCCTAACTGCGACTGATATATCAAGTGTCAGACTTGAAAAAAAAGGCGCTTGGCACCACGTGCAGACTTGCAGGACGGTGTTGAAGTATCTTCGTACTACATACAGTACAGTAGTATACTTACTTACAAAACACGCGTGGACACCAACTTCGAGTTTTCTGGAAACCGCTAGGAAAGCACGCTATCTAGGAGAACCGACCACGAGGAATCAACTAACAGCACTTTTAACACCTGCAGCTAAGGCGCTAGCGCGTAGTAAGAAGAAGAAGGAGGCCTTCCTTTATTTTTCTACGACTATAAGAATTTTCTTACAAAGCTTAGGCTCTAATACTAAGACTACAGTGCCCGTGCACCAGATGAGCACCATCGCCAGTTGAGCACCCCCACCACCACAACAACAAAACTTCAACGCGTCAAAACTCAACCAATATGGACCCGATTCAAGAAGCGATTGCAGAAATCGAATCGCGAGAACCAGGAGATAAATTCTCGTATCAAGCAATCGCGAAAAAGCATGGTGTAGCACGAATGACGTTGATGAGACGACACCGCGGCGAAACTGAGGCCTATGGCGTGCGCAACCTCTCCCTCCATCCACAACACGAGAAGGAGCTTGTACGATACATCGATACGCTTACCGAACGTACGTTTG